TTATCAATAGTCATTCATTTTTATTCATCGATTCATCTTTTTGTATATTATAAACACATATATTTAATTATATATATATTTTCAACTCACCTTTCGTTATACATAACATCGCCATTAGGTTTAACTTTCAAAAACATGTTACGTGTCGGATATTTTACAATATCCACGTCCATTGAGTTTGAGAAAAATGTGTCCGGCACCCATACCCTTTCCATAAGGGACTGTCCACCATATACATCCTGGGTTATGCCATTGGATACCAGTCGAGGGTCATTCCACATTTGCCGGAAGTACATCATCATGCTCATCTCCTATATTAAATATTACAAATTTAAAATATGTTAGCTAGTTTTAATTATTTTGAAATAAATAATAAACTAACCCTGCTTTTCGGGTCAAAGTCGTAGTTGATAACATACATAGTGATGCCAATTTGAACCGGGGCATTTTCTATAATATACGTGTATTGTATTGAAATAGTGAAAATATAGTATTTTTAACATATTTTTAATGTACCTGCTAAGTTAGGTCTTATATCCTTGTCGTACATTGGTGAATTAGTAAGCATTTTAAATTTTTTCATCGCGGCAACTCTAGGGCTAATGCCTAATAAATCAGCCCTAAAATATTTTTAAAAAATAAATTATTACAATTTTTACTTAGTATAATTAATATTAGATGGTATGCTAGGGTACTTACATTTTAGGCAATTTACCCAGTATATCTTTTGAATAGCACACAGATATAACACTCATTAAAATAATTATAAATTTCATTTTGAGTTTTAAAATTGTAATTTAAAATAATAATATTTAATAGTATACTTTTAGAAATATGTAATATCAAAACACTATAGCCAATGTCTATTTATATATGGTCTAGTTTTAATATAATATATACAATTCATATGGTAATTCATATAATTTCGTAAACATATTTTTAAGTTATTAGTGTAAATATTTATGGTATTAAAAGTATTTTTCTAATGATATTTAATAAATGATTTCTATTTATTTTTATTGTTAATATCTAGCAATAATAAATCTGTCATAAACACATTTATCAAATTAATTTACTTTCATCTAATATATTATATGGACTAAACAATATTTTGTATATACATAAAATTTAATAAAGTAGTTGCTTGATTATATTATCAATTACAGAATTTTTGTACTGAACATCTTATCGGTTTGTGTTAGTTATCAAAATAATCTACTTTTATATACTGTAAATATTTGATAAATTAAAAATCGGTATAATTTTAAAAATTAATTTCAACTTTTAGTAATATACTTTAATCATGTAAAAACATAAATTTAATTTAATTAACTTACTTTCAAAATATAGTTTTAAATAAAAATTGGGTATATTTTATAAAACAAATTATCTAAATATAATTAAAACAATAAATATAAAAACGAGAGTAACCTGTATGTGTACTAAATGTATTATTATAAGTGTAATTGTGCAATTAAAGCATGATTGTAAATTATAAGTAAAATACTACTATCCTAGGTTAATTATTTTTATTAATAATACGCATAAAGTAGTGTAGGTTTATGAGTAAAACAATTTTTAAAAGATTATGCTGGCTGAGTATTAAAACACATTAAAAATGATTCTTCAAAGGATGAAGTTATTTATCTATTAGAAAGAGAATATAATTGGTTGGTATCTATGCTGAACAGCAATATGTCTGAATATCTATATATTGAATCTCCAATAGCCATCTCAAACTCTAAGGGAACCCACAGCCTCTCTATTCAACGCAGATCCAAAGGGAGTTACAAATTGAAACAATATATCAAAAAATCAAAAGTTTAAAATTAAACTCGATAGAGAAGAGATAAATATATTAAAAGCAAAATATAAGACAGTTGATGACGTATTGAGTGTTGTTGAAAAAAATTTGGACTTAAAATAATGTAAAAGGTTTTTAAAAGTAGAGAAAAATTTTTGGAGGCATTTTCAAATAAAATATTTGAATTTTAAATTTGGAGCCTTTCTGATGACGTCTCATACGTCACCGGTACGTGTGGCGAAAGACGCGATCCCATTGGGTGGTGGCCAACTTCACTATTCTCTACTAACATTGAATATTAAAAAAAATTCTGATTAGTGTAATATAATGTTTATAACAATAATATTGTTAAAAACATTATATTATTTATAAAATACTTTTAAAAATTATGTTTGATAATTAGTAATTAATATTAAGATACTAATATTTGTAGCTAATACTATTAATATCTGATAGACCAAAATGAGAAGGATCTCTGAAAAATTGCTTTTATTTTTATTGAAACATTGCTTTGCTGTAAAGTTGAAATTTGCTTATATTAAACTTTATAACTCAAACTTTACATAAAAGCAATGTTTCCACTGGCTTCACACCTCTCTTCCTCCAAATCGGTGTCGACAACATGAATGCCGACACAAATTTCGAAGAGGCTCGACGTGTAGCCACTGATAAGTCCGAAACACGCAAAGCAATGGCTAAAAAGTCATTCGAAGAGGTTCACCACCCTTTGCATCTCGAAATCGGGGATCTGGTCAAACGGCGCATACCGTCAAACCATCCAACCGTCAACAAACTCTCGCCTAAATACCAGGGGCCGTTTGTTGTAGAAGCACAGACGTCG